ATTTTCTTTCTGTATTTATATAATGTCATTTATTTAGCCAACACTATCTGGGAAAAAGAAGTACGATTCACAGCTGAAAAATAAAGCTTACAGAGCCTCTGTGTCAGCCTTTTTGATATACTGAAGTATTTGGCTTTCAATTTTCTGGCTAATTGCTTCATTTTTGACTAGGTTAACCTGAGCTGAAGTAGAGGGTGTAGAGTAAAATGAATCTTCAGTATTTTATAATGTGACGGTAAGAAGAAATGCATAAAATAAATTTCTACCCTCTAGCTCTTACCAAGGTGAATAGGTGAATTGCTGTTGGTGAATACCAGTCTAGCATTTTATGAGTAACCAAGCTGTTCTCAGCAGTTGCAGACAAGGATTCACATCTTATGTCAAAGAGGAAATGGTAAGCTTTTTTTTTTCTTAAAATAGTCTCCAACTTCTAACAAAGTACTTGTGCCAATATAATTAGTAAGTCTAGCAAACATCAGTGCTATCCCTGGTTCTTGTCAGCTGTGGAGCAGTCTTCACTGGAAAGAGCACTGGAAAGAGAAGGCCTGGTCCTTTTCCCTTCTCCTCTGCAAGCAGGAGCTTTACATTTTCCAAGGCATTTGTGACTTTGGAGCGTGAAAGCTCAGCCTTCACTCATGTGTGAAACTAGGATTTTAAGACCAATGCAGTATGACTGTTGGTATTAGGTAATGTTTCCCACTAGACCTGTGGATGTGTTTGTGATTGCAAGAAACAGGTTATATTCACTTTTATAACCAAACAAGGGCATTTGTTTTAACCTCTGTAGTGTAATAGCTGGTCTAGCAAACATGGTGATTATTTCAGTGTCCCTTTGCTACACAGGAAAGAAGTATCCAATTAACTGAGTGAAGAAAACATACCTACTGCTCTGAATGCACAAAAGGCTGATTAAATGTCTAAATGTTAGAGTATTTAACATTGTGAGTAAAGCTAATTAAGTTACTAAGACGCCATGAAAAAACACAAAGTAAAATCAGCATACCCACTCTTGGCTTGCATTCCAACACGGCTGTATTCTTGCACTTTTTTGATATGATGACTCACATATAAGCACAGTAGTATTTCTAATTAAATGTTTAATTAGAAGGAAGGTCTGCTAGGTTAAAATGCTACTTTTCTTGGTACCTCAGAAGATGACAGCACTGGGACTTCCATGGTTATTTATGGCTTGCTGAAAATCCTGATGTTCAGATACTGATGATACTGTTCATAATAGCTTATATGTGAGCTGTTCTTCGAATTATTGGAGAAATTTTATCCTAACAAAATGGAGTGTTGTGTGTGGAGCTGTACTCCAACTGTGTCTCTCAATGTCTTTTCCATTGCTGGGGGTCCTGCTCAGTTTGCTGTCCCGTTATCTTTCTGGGTAACATGGGGTCTCTGTTACAAAACCAGCAGTACTGCTGTTTAAATGCACCAGATTTCAGAAGTTGAAAGGGTTTAAATAGTCAAATAATGCATATTCATTCTATTTACAACAAAATTATTTTCTCTGAATATTCCAATATTTCTCAAATACTCTCCTTCCTGAATATGTTTAAGTATCAGACATTTAGTGCAGCTCTCAAAAGCAGTGCATGGTAATTCAGTTGTTCTCTGTAATGGCAGACATGTGACTTGCATCCAGTGCAGTGATCAACAGTTGTATGTCCCCAGTATGCTACAGGACCTTAGAAATGCAGGATGCTTTCCAGACATTTTTTACTTCAAAAAACTTGAGTTCATATGGGTACCTAAGCAGATATTCCTTCATAAGCTTTCAGGTTACCCTGTTACCCAAAATAAAGTGTTTCCATTGAAGAAAAGAGCAACCTTGCATATTTGACTTTGGTGGAGTCTGCCAGAAAGTGTCCTTTCTTTAGTTTGGTTTTAATTTATATTGTTTTCTCCACTGTAAATATCCACAGTGTTCTGCTCCTCTTCCTTGCTGTCCCATTGTGCTTTGGGGGAGAGGCAGAGCTGGGGAAGTAGGAGAAGAAAGGCAGGGGTGAAAGGCCCTTAAGTACTAATTACACTTGGTTTCTTCTAGCAGCATCCATGTATCAGGACTGAGACCATCTGCAGGGCATGGATGATGGATTTCCATCACCCCTGTCCTGCCATCTCTTTGCTGCTGGAATGGGTGTACTGGTGGAAAGACAACATGAGATGGACACTGCCCAGTAGTGGGATCCCAGTGAGAAAGTGCTTTGCGGATCTAGTTCAAATGTGAACTGGTCCAGCTGACTAGGTGGAGAGTGTGAATTTGATCTGGCAGCTTCAAGAGGGTGCAAGCAGGGGGAAATTCAGAGAGGGGTTAAATATATGCATGCAGAGCTGTATGGGGCTTGCACATGGTGCTGTGGGAGTTTGGATGCGAATGTAAGCATTTGACCTTGGGATGGGGAATGAAGTGTCAGCAGGGCCTGCATGAGAAAATTTAGCCGTGTTGTGTAGGCTCAAAGAATGTAATCTGAGATTGAGGGAAGAGCACATTAAATGAGTGGCTAGAGAACAGGACCAGGATTTCACTGCAGGTGTGGGGAGGAAGAGCAGGACTTCCAGAGCTGGTAAGACTTTCATTAATCTGTTAACCACCATTCTTCGCATTCTCAGTTTTCTTCAGAGGATAAGTATTTGCCTGCGTTATGCTGCTTGGCTCAACTTGTGAGACACAGTGTGCATCTGCAAATGGCATTAGCTTCAGTATTTGGCTTTTAGTGCTTTCTCATAAAAGACTTCAGCCACTATTGTTTTTAAAACCTTAGGCATCTCACAGTAGAGCTCATGAAGGTACGCTGTGTGGATGATACAGGGACAAAGGGGCTTTTTTACAGAATGCCCTCTTAAGTTTCAGTGTGCAGACTCTTTTAAATTAACATCTGGCAATAGAATAATAATGTTAAACAAGCCAGACAGTAAAATGCCAAGGCATTTCTGAGATGCTAGAACAATACATAGGCTTCTCTCAAATTGGTGGTAATGTCAGCAATGGGACAAATGGCTGCTGAAGAATGAAACCAGCTAAAGGCATTCCCCCCCCACCTTCCTTATGCTGTGAACTGTGTCCAGCAGGTCCCCAGTGTGTTGTAAACTTTCAGGAGCAGCATAAAAGCTTTTTATGTAGGGTGACTGTGAATAATAGATATTTTCCAGAAAAGAATTCCTGCACATTGTGGAGTCTATTAATGCGTGTGTAATCAGTGAGAAGGTTGAATGACAGATTTTTCTATTAGCTGCTCACACAGACAGCCAACAATTTGGCTGCTGTGTGCCCAGCAGGAGTGAGGTGGTAGCAGGAAGGGTTGCTGAGCTCAGACTTGCTGTGGGTCAGGCTGGATTTGGGGGAGTGGTGGAGTTTTGCTGGGGAAGAGGCAAGAAGCTGTGCTTCTCTAAGAAAAGAACTAACAGAAGACTGTCTGAAAGGAAAATGCTAAAGATAGTATTTGAATGGTAGAGTGTTGGAGATGAGTCTTTTGACTTCCTCTCTGAAGTGTAAGTGATCCTGCTTTGAAGCTCCAAGCTCATGTTACTTTCAGATGAATCCAGTGTCCTTCTTTGAGGTCTTTCTAAGAAAACCAGAATTTCTTGGACAAGGTAGGAATAGAAAATGTTTTAGGTTTTGTATCCAGCTTGTCTAACAAAGCATTTAAGTACTCTGAAAAGCATTGTCTGCACACAATACAAAGAAAATGCAGGTGCTGACAAAGGTGCTGAACCTGAAGTCCAGCATGTGAAAGCAGCCTCTGTGTTTGCTATTACAGTGACATGGTAGCTGTGTGTTTCTGAGTGGAGGTGTCACTTGGGGGCTTATGAATATGGCAGCAGTTCAGGAGTTAAATTTACTTCCACCCCACCCCCCGATACATAACATATTCTATCACTTTAATGACTCTTGGTTCAGTTTAATTGACTTAAACTTTGTTGTACAAATTCTCCAAAGGTATATAAATATTTTTACATTTATTCCATATCTGCTAAAACTGTTGTTTTGTTGTTTTTTTTTTTTCTTTGGGGTGGTGACATTTTTTCTTTTGCTGTCTTTTTTTGTTTAAGGCTTATTTAGGTTGTAACAGTGAAAGCAGTGTTAGTGGGAATGCTCTAAATCCTGCTATAAGAGCAGATCCTGGCTTTCTACTGTATTTATATATATATTAAAAAAAAAACATCCAAACCACCAAACAAAAACCAAACCAACAAAACCCCCCAAAACCAACAAAACAAACAAAACAACCATGCAAACCAATAAACCCACTAAGGTTAGTAATAGATTAATAAACAATAACTGCTCTATAGACTCCTGACTGGCCTAAATGATTCAGAATAGACCTTGGTGTTACCTGCCAGGAATGTCACACATGGGACTCCTAAATTTAGAAGGTGGCACTGAAATGGGTGCCTGGGCAAGTTTTCATTGGCATGAAAATGGAATAGGATCTTAAAAGAATCTTCCTTTATTTTTTCTTCTTCTTTTATTATTATGCTAGGCAATAGCAGTTACAGCTGGAGGGATGAAAAAACAGATTGTGTAATGGTTGAGAGATGTTCCTGAGAGCAGTGTATGCCAGGCAGAGAGTCAGTTATAGCTGGTTTTCTCTGGATTTCTGCAAATGCTTGTTTGAAAAACACAGTCATAGGAAGGCATGATTTTTGTTTAAATGATGTGGAGACCCAAGTAAGAATAAGGAGAATGTCAAAACACATCATTACAGCTTTTTCTGCATATCAGAAAAGGGGCAGGGAGACAATTTGCTGGCATCTCAGAGAAGCAGCTTTGGGTGCAGGAGACCTGACTGGGAATCTGCAATGTCAGGTGTGAGTTTATTGGCTTGCCAGGGATAATTATTTAGACAGTTAACTTTCTTCATCTGTGTGCTAGCAAGCTCCTTGTCCTACATTGGATGAGAAATGCAGCACAGCCATTGTGCAATTTCTCTTAATGATTGGGTTATCAGACAGCATCTGTGTCTCCTAGGGCTGCTTAAGAGCATACTGCGGGCTATGCTTTGCTTAACTGCTGGTGGTACAGGTTTTACACGGGCTTTGATGTGTTCAAAAAGTCTGTAGTGACCAGTGTTCAGGCCTGGTCATTTCTCCCTTCAAAGAGAGAAACAGATTTGTTGTTACTCGTGTGTATATACCTCTTTCTGAATTAGCTTGGTAATGAAGGAGGAATACCCACTGAAAAAAATGTATGCTTCAGGTGAGTGTGAAGAGAGTTGTGCTCTGTGTATGCCTGTGTTTCTCCTGAGTGGCAGAAACTTTAATGCCTTTGTCGCTTACCTCTGGTGACAAGTCCCATTTTGCATCAGAAACTCTGATGCAAAGAATGCTTAGGATGCTGTTGTATTTTGACACAATAGTAGTGTTTGACACCTTAGTATTATTCCAGGTAACACCATCCTTTCATATTCTTTCCCCTTTGCATTGGTGGAGTGGAAGGATGAAATGTCAAAAAACCCTTGGGGGTGGGAGGGTGTTGGGAATGTTTGGAAATACCAAAGCTGAGGTTGGGGTCTTGGGGGAAGAGAAGGTTGTAGAGCTGTAAATTATAATCTGCCATACCTAGTGTGGCAGGTACCCAAATGAACAGAGAGAGTTTCTGAACTGTGATTTCAGAGAGTGTTACCTGTTCAGTGGCTTGTGAAATATATGAAGGCTTGTGCAGTCTTCTGTGGGCAGAAATTTAGTAGCCCAAAAGGAAAAGCCTAGGTTTATGGTTTTCAGATATTTTCAATTATCCACTGTTAGTTTTAGTGTATGAATAATTTAATAAACACTTTTAAAGTTAAAAACATTGTGAAATGTGAGTGAAAGCATGTAGAGATAATATTTTAATAGGATTTGGAAAGAAAAAAACAATTGCATTTAATATTTTGAGAGTATACAGACCTTATTTTGTGGGGGGCTTTTAGCATATTGAAAAAGGATCGACTTGATGGTCATTAGTTTAATCTGTGGATTAAGTCTACAATAGGGTGCACATTTTTGTGTGTGTCAGTTTTTTGCCTAAGATGAAGCCATTGACTCTTCCTGAAGTGGCATGCAAGGATAATCTTAATTAAGGTAAGACCTTTTCAAAACTGTCAGCTGCATATATGGGAAAAGAAAACCCCAGGTAAATTATGTAATCGGTGTTATAATACTTGAGTCACTGATTTTTAACCTGGGTTGAGATTGTCATGGCAGGAGTAATTGCAAATGCTAGGCTCTGTCATTAGCAAGATGGACAAATAAATATCCTCTTTTCCTGGAATTACATTTTTGTGTTGCTGTCTGCATCAGGTCTTCCTTTTAGTGGGAAACAGAGAAACAGTCCTCCAGAAAAAGGAATGAAAAGTTTAATGCATTCAGCATTTGCATGCATGAGCAACCCAACCAATCCTGTGAAAATGAGCAGAGGAATGAGATTTTCTGTTCACCTTGGTGAAACTACAAAGTTGTTTTCTAAAAGAAGAATGTTCTTTTAAACCCAGGGAGTATGTTTTGTAAGGGATAAAAAGGGTTGAGCTCCCTGTGGCTGCAGAGAATGGAGGCAGCGTGTCGTATAAAGACTTCATGAAAACGGCAACTATTCATTGAAGCCTGGCTCTTATTATTTAGGATCACAATGGTGGAAATGGCCTTTATAAACTTGCTTAAGAACACATGGATCCGAGTGTGTTTAGAGCTTGGATGCGCTTGGTTGAATTGCATAAATGCCTTGCTGTTGCCCCTCAGTGTATTCTTAATGGGTTGAGGAAAGTGTGCCAAAGATAGGGAACACAAGTCGTGTGAGCTGGTGATTCAGGATAATACCCTCTTGTAATGTGTGGTGTCTGAAGGCTGTGGCATGGCTGCTGGTGTTGACAGTGCTGTGCCAGGCACCTGTGAGAAAAGTTGTAACTATTTTAAGGATTAATAAAATGTCTTTTGTATTTTCTCTAAATTATCAGCAAATTGAATGTAAGTGCAGCTGGCAGGAATCTGCATTTGAAATTTTGTAGTTCTTCTCTAGAAAATTTTTCTGTAAGATGGTCATTTCTTTGATCTGCATTGTGCGCTTCACTTAGCTGCAGGAGGGAGCCATAAGCTTTGTGTGGGGTAAACTGGAAACAAAACTTACTATAATGCAGTAATTTTTCATTTCTCACAAGAGACAGTAGATGCCCTGTCTTGAAAAAATGAGTAAGGGCCCTGTACCTTCAACTATGAGGAAGTAAAAATGGCAGATCTTTTTATACCTTTCTACAAGTCTATAAATGTAATAGTAAAATACCATTACTGCAGAGTAGTGCTACTAGTGCTACTAGATTTTTGATAGATTTTTAAGATAGCTACAAGGGATTTTTAAACGATACTGTGTTGCACTTAGCACTTTTCATCACAGGACTGTCAGTTCTTGTATAGGCAATCACTGCTACTATGTTTTTTTATCAGATTGTGAAACCAAGGGACAGTTTCTGTTTAAAGAGGGGAACAAATGAGATTAACATTCAAATTTATTAACTGTTTATTCCAAACTTAAAATTCTTCATAACCTTTATGGAAATGTGTGTCACTTAAAATGAAAGAGTGGAACAGAAATATTATTGTTTTATACTTGAGATTTCTCTGAAATACTGAAAAGTTTAATGACCTTGAAACATTTCTCTAAGGAATATATCATCCGCTTTTGAATTCTACAGAATCATTTCATCAAACCGTAGAGTGCTAACTCCTGCATGAACTTTCCAGAAAGGGTCTCCCCTGTCCCATGTCATTAAAACACAGAAGGTGAATGAGCACGGGTGACAGCTCCCAACAGTTTTGGATCAAGAGAGTAACAGTCCCAATAAATTAGAGATCATTGTCACCATCAATCAACTGTAGTAAAAAACAGAGCTTGTTGGAGTAGAATGCATGTCCTTGATTGTGGTGATGAGGCTTATGGCAGAATGCTTATGATAACATAGCTACAATGAGAAGGAAGTCTTAAAAGTGAGGGAAGCATTATGCTGTGCAGCCAGCTGCCCTGTGTGGAGGCAGTGTGGGTGGTTTTTCAGGTCAGATAACTTTTGATGAAATAGCCTAAGATAAGACCATGCTTTTCAGCCATTACAATCTGAGGAGTGACTGCTGGTGTTGCCAGATAAATTTCAGCAGGTAACTGCTCTGTTTTGTAAGGCAATTTTGATATAGCTTCTATTTCTACTGCACACCAGGAGTCAAGGTTTTCTCATTTCTTAAGATGTTTACTCTGACTTGTGAAAGACCGACTCAGTAGCCTGGGCGTTTAGACTGGGAGTCAGACTGCCTTTTGCTAACTTAAAATTACTTACCTGAATGTGCAAATAAAACCTGAGATAAACTTGTGGAAGTGATGAATTCTCAGTGCTCAATTGGATACACTTGACTCTATGAAAAATGAAGCTCCTTTCAGGGATGAGTTGAATGCACAAAACTGCAGTTTGCTGCTTTGTCATCTGATGCTGCTGCTGCTAACACTGATGATACAGTGGATAATTAAAATAACACAAGAAAGCATTACTGAAGAAAAAATTAAAAATCAATATATTGGCTTAAAGAAAGCACATGACCATATGGAAATTATTCTATATTTTATCAAGGTTCTGTGAAACTGAACTATAAAATATTAAGTGTTTGCTGAGCTGCCTCACAACATGCTGGCTAGTGGACAGAAGAGCTTGAGTTTTCAGCAATGGCTTGCATTTGGAGGAGAGCCTTTCAGATACTTAAATTTGCTTTTTATTTTTTTTCTTAATAAAATGCACATTTTTTGAAATGGTCAAAGTGTAGTAGTAATTTTAGCAATTGAGACCTAAGGACAGGCAGTGAATAGAACGTGGTCTCTTTTTTATTCCCCAGCTCCAGTAAGGGTAGCAAGCTTGGCTGTGTGCAACATTTCCTAGGGCATTCACTTGTCTTTGCTTCTGGTTATCAACTCCTTCAGCTGGTCGTTAATCTCCAAGAAATGTTCTGGAACATGAGCTTTATTACTTAAACAGAGAGTTCATCTTGTGGTTAGCTTTTCGTGCTTAAGATGTTGCTATTGAATGCTGTGTTTCTTAGTAAAGCTTCTTTGAGGGTGATTATTGTGAACTACACTCTGAACGTAAAGAGTTCACATCTTCTGTTGAATGCATAGCTACAATGCTGTAATAGTCGTTTATTTTCAATACATGTTGCTCTACATATATGTGATAATACCTGCTTCATGAGTTGTGAATATCTAGTGAGAAGTTTGATTATGGGTATGTCTGTTTAATTAGAAGGAATGAGACAAAGCCTGACCCATGTCCAATGTTTATTATTCATTGGCATGTTCCCGATGTTAAATGGCAAAGAGGAAATGAGTAGAAAATAACAGCTACTTCAATCAAAAATATTGTGCTACAGGTAGCACGAGGAAAGGAACTTTGCTTTCAAACACCAGAAATAATTTTTTGTCCTGCAATGGTTAGCAGCCCCCTTATACATTTTAAGGCTTTTAAGGTGTGATTAGAAGCTTGTCCAGGCGGTTTTGGTTTGCCATAGAGGAAGATAAAGTGGGTAGCTTTCACAAGGACTCTTTCCCCAAAGTGAAGATGACAAGGTGATAATAGTGGTCCTCTTTCTTGTAATTTTACGTAATCTCTTAATCTTGTCAGAAGGCAGCTCTTGTGCATTAGACTAATCATGGTATCGGGTCAGTATCGAGTGGCCTGAGAAAACCAGCATTACAGGGTTTTCCATCCCATACTCAGTCTAAATGCTGCTGTAAAAATTTCCAAACAATTAGGGATGATAAGCAGTTACATGGTAATAATTTTTGTCTACAGCTTGACCCTTACGTGCTGCTCTATGTACTGTAATGGACTTTTTGAAGATCTTTCTCTTTTCCTGGTTAAAGAGAAGTTCTGCACCATAGGAGGTCTGTGTCTGTGCCTATTTTTTATTCCCTCCCTTCCTTTTATTTACTTAGATGTGGTACAAGTGCCACATAGTTCCTGAAGTAACAAGTGAATAGCTCACAAGAGACCCTCGTTAGTCTTTAAATGAAAATAATTGAGTTCTTTTAGCCTATTAGTGCTTAAGAATAGCCTTCTCTAAGTCTATTACCTCTGGGATAAAAGCCTTGAATAAGCAGTGTGTACAACATGACTTGTTGCTAGGGAAAGAGGCTTTCTTCCTTCTCTGCCAAGTGGAGTGGCTTGTGTAGCGAATAAAAACTGAATGACCTCAAACTGCAGTCTGGAAATCCTCTTTACTCTTCAGTTGACAGTCTGGAAATATTTCCGTTGAGTGGCTTTCTGGAGCTGTTCTTACTCCCTTTCAGGAAGTCAGCAACGTGGGAAAAGAAGCCTCTCCAGCCTGTCGGGGTCAGATCTATGAGGGCAGCACTCACTGGTGCTGGTCTCATCCAAGTAAATGCCCAGAGGCTGGCCACACACGGCTCCATCAAAGCCTGTGAGATGTGGGCAGAATAGGCTGTGAAATTGGCTGTGAATTTTCTCATTGTCGTCACTGAAGCAAAGGGGCAACTTCTTTGTAATGCTGAAGGGGAAGGCAAAATGTTGGGAGCAAGACATGTAATAGTTGACTGCAGGAAGTAACATAATTTGGAGCACCTTTGTGAGTGCTTGGGTGTAGCCTTATATTAGACTTTGCAGTTGCTGAAGTCCTGAGCTACAGCTGGGAAGTATGCCTGTGGTGATGGTCCTAGATTTGGCGCTGACACTGTGTAGACTAACCCAGCAGTCTTGGATTGTGATGGATTTTTATTGTTTTTAATTATTGAATGCTGGTTTTGGTGGAGTCACTGATACTAGCCTCCATCAAAAATGGTCAGAGGGATGGAACACCTCTCCTATGAGGAAAGGCTGAGAGAGATGGGATTGTTCAGTCTGGAGAAGACTCCAGGGAGACCTTATTGCAGCCTTTCAGTAGTTAAAAGGAGCCTATATGAAAGATGGGAAGAGACTTTTTAGCAGGGCCTGTTGCGATAGGACAAGGGGTAATGGTGTTAAACTGAAAGAGGGGAGATTCGGCCTGGATGTGAAGAAGAAATGTTTTACAGTGAGGGTGGTGCAATATTAGAAGAGGTTTCCCAGAGAGGTGGTGGATGCACCATCCCTGGAGACATCTAGGGCCAGGCTGGATGGAGTTCTGGGCAACCTGATCTAGTTGAAGATGCCCTTGCTCATTGCAGAGGGTTTGGACAAGATGAGCTTTGAAGGTCCCTTCCAACCCAAACTATTCTATAGTTTTATGATTTTATGAGAATCATTCCAAGGTTGTTAAAATAGATCAGGCAGTGTAAAAGTGTGTTGAGAGGAGTCTTGCCAGAGTACAGGACATTTAAGTCTTTATTAGCAACAATGCACATAAAAATACTTTTTGCTCTTTAGCAGCTGAAGCTTAAAACAACTGCACAGAACACAGTAGAGAAGAAGCTGAGACGGTACCATACTGATTAGTACAGGAAACTTCAATACAGCAGGTCTGCGGCAGTGTCTTTATTCAGCTTGGGTTAATCAAATGGATCCTTTCCCCCCTCTGCAAATGAGGGAAGTTCAGTTTTAGAGCTCATACTTTTCCTTTAAGAATAGCAAGTTCCGGAGTTGATACCAAATTGGTGACGAAAGGGTGATTAATAGTTTTTAAATGTTTAAATGCCAAAAAAGGACTTGGTGCTTATTGCTCTGACATCCTCTGTCTTAACTTTCAAATGTCTTTTTGCTGCAAGTCTTTGCACAGGACAACAGAGACCAGGACAGACTGCAGTTTTCTTGATACTAGCATGATATATATAATAATGAGTGGCAGAAGCCCAAAATCCTGGCAGTGTCTAAAATCTGAGGCTGCATCCTACTCACCCTTTGGATAGATGCTGTAGCTGTCTCAGTTTAATAATAGACACAAGAATCCCACGAGGCTGATTGTGGCTGTCATTTATTTGTCTGGCATGAATATTTAAAAGGCCTCTTTGCAAGAGGTATCTTAAGTCTTGAATATATGGTGTGAAACATCCATGTATCAGTTAAAATGCTCTGAAACTCAGTGATGAGGACTGTGCACTAAATATCACACAGGAGCATTTGCAATCTTCAGTACTTGCATTGGTTTTCCTAGATGATAAAGCCATTTGTATTAGAAAATGTTTTTCTTTATCCTAAAGTCTTCTGATCAAACTTTTGTCTAGTCCTTGTATAAATGGGAACAGAGGCCTTGATCTTATGCTCAGGAGGGGGGTCATTAAAGGGCTGTACAAACCTGTGATTCAAAATAAAAATCTGTCTCTTGGAGTGGAATAATATCTCGTCTGTTGATCTCTACTTTAAGGGGGGGGGGAGGGGGGTGCAGAGAAGACAGAGAAGTTGCCCTGGAGTGATCATTGATACAAACTCTTCTTAGGAGAAGGAAAGGAGGTAGTTTAGAGGTGGGGGGTTTTAATTCAGAATTGCGAAAAGTAGCCTTTTGTTCCCTAAGGCGAACCCTGCTAAAAATAGTTGGATACTGTTGCTTCAAATGAACTTGTTACTCTTTGTGTTTGCTTATCATCTTGCAATTCAAGGGAGCTCTCAGGCTGGAGAGCTTTTTTTTGTTCTGTTTCGCTAAGCGTAATCCAGGGAGTCTCATTTCTTGATTAAGGCTCCAACAATGGATTGTAACAGTAGAAATGATGGTAACTTGCTTCATTCTGCATAGCTCCAAGCCTCTCTTTGGATGTCTCAGCTGACACAGGCAGAAAACGAGTTTGAATCCAAGTCTGTCTTTTAGATTTAGGCCATTAATCAGTGGCTCTTTCAGTTGGACTGTTGTTTTTTTTTTTTTTTTTTTTTTTTTTTTTTTTTTTTTTTTTTTTTTTTTTTTTTTTTTGTAGTATACATAATAAAGTGTTTTTCAGGCTAAATAGCAAGCATTTGTGAAAGGGTCCTACCTAGATGGATGGCATTCTGAGGCCCTGGTGTCTGCCTCTGCAGTGGAAAAGTTTAACCCCTTTGTTGAGCCTGGGAGTTACGTGCACCAGTCTCACCTGACCTGTCCACAGGATGGACCTCTTTTTTGAGTGCTTGTTGGAAAAAGTGGGAACTGTGTCTGGCTTTTGTGCGTCTGGGTGCATATACGAATAACTGAGTTTCTGAGTAAGTTGGGAAATCATAACAGTGTAATCCCTTTTCCTTTAGACAGATGTTTCCCAGGACAGCTGTTCAGTTAAAAGCTTTGGAATGGCTGAAATCTTGCTTTTCCATAAAAGCAGCATTTAATATCAACTCCTCATCCAACTCCAAAATGTGCCTTTGAGTCTAGATGTCTCTTCTTGGATTGCTATGGAGCCTGTGCAGGAGCAGTTCACCTACAACTCTCTGCTTCACTCGGGGTATCTGTCCAACTGCATTTAATGAGTTAATCAGTTTGTGTTCAATATTTCCTCGACAATTGTCTATTTAAAATGCAAAAAATACCAGAACTGGAATAGGAAACTAAAGAAGAGAGCTTTTTAATAATAAATGAGATATATAAATCATAAATCAATATAAGATGCTGTTTGTCAAAATCAATGCTAACATTTGTACAACACTATTTGATTCACGTAATGGTTAAAACGGCAGCCTTGACCAGGATGCTTTATTGGACAAGATAATTTGTCTCGGCAAATGTGTTCACAGAAATATTTTAAAATGAAAACCATGATAAATCTGTCTAGAGCCTACACACAGCATGCCACCTGGTAAAGATTTAATTAACTGTTCTTTATTTAACAGAAAAAGTCAAATTAGTGCTGTCACTTGCTGAGACTTCTCTTATCTCAATCACTCTGAGATGTCGTTGAGCAAATGCTTCTAAGTGGAGCAACTCCAATGTTTTAATTAGAATTACAGCAAATTGGTGAGGAATGCCATTAAATCTTAAATGCAGCTTTCATGCAACTCAGCCATGAGGATGGGCTTTTTATCAAAGCCACTTAGTGTTTTCTTAGGAGCCAAAGGACACCCAGTCTCATACCATGAGATTATCGGGAAATTATTTCCTCTGGATTTTCTAAATGGAACAGGATCTATTTCTCTGAGTAAACAAAAAATGTACTAGGATGTTATACATCTGTGTGTGAAAGAGAGAAAGCCTTTGAGTGAGCTAAGCCATGTAAGACAGGGCTTAGTGGAGGGTTTTTTTGCAGCAGTGAGAGATGGGTTCAGCCATGTCTCCTTTCTGCAGCCTGTCTTTAGAGGGGAATTAAGAGATGTGGAGTATGTCAGACTTGAACCATCTGCATAAGGACAAATGCCATCCTCTGAGAGTCTGCAGGAAATTTATGTGCTGCTTTTTTTTTTTTTTTATTACTGATGAGTTAAGTGTGTTCCTTAAGGATTTTAGATTGGGCAATGGTTTAGGAGATTACAGTTTTGTAGGATCCTTCTTCCTATGTTTTTCAATGAATTACCACTCTCCCATCCAGGAGCATAGTGGATGCTTGTTATGTAGTTCCTTGATTGTCTTTCACCTACTGTGGATATGGAAAACGTTTCTGGCTGAGTAAACAATACTCGGCTTCTGTTTAAGCTATGCAATGACCATACTGAAGTCCTCTGTTGTATAAGGGATGTAGAAGGAGGAAAGGTGCTAGAAAAAGTAAAAGCAGTAGGTAAGGAGGTAGAATAGCAAGGGAGAAAGCTGTGAGGAGATTTATGAGGTACACAGGCAAATAATGAGCATGATCAATAATAGTCATTGGTAGCAGCACAGCAGTTGTAAAATTAAAGCCTTAAAAAATAGTAAGAAAACCTCATTAATTACCTTCATTGCCTATCCTAACTTCAACAGGCTTTGAAGCAGCCTGTTGAAGTGGCCTTGAGCCAATGGCTCAAGTGTGAGATTAGAATTCAGAAGCTTTTCTGTTTTCCTTTTGGCTGAACTATGTTTTGTTCCACAAGACAAAATAATGTGACAAGCAACTCTAAATTTGAGGCACCCCCTTCCCTTTTTTGCAGTGTCCTAATCAGTACCTTGGTTTCCCATGATGATCCCAGCCTCCCAGCTGTAATCGGTATGCTCTGTAGCTGTGAGCATGCCAGAAAATGGGGCCACATCTGGTTAGGCTCCAAAGTAAACATTTTCACTTGCAGATTGGTGGACTAACAGATTTGACATCTTTGCTCTGTGTTTTCACTTTGAAGAAAATAAATGTGCAACAGAAATAGATGTGCATCTAAAAATGCTTAAAACTTCAGAGCTCTCTTTCAAAAAAGCAGATTCCAGAGTACTGACAGCAGATGACTGGTATGAACTATTCTTTCTCGTTAGCTGGAGGAAAGGCCCCTTTTCAACAATAACTCCAGGCAGGGAGCAGTCTGCTGGCCAGAGTATTACTGTGTTTGCCAGAAAACCTGGAGTTCTGTTTGTGTTCACCTGCTGTGTGAACTTTGTCTTGGTTTCTCCTCTTGCATAAACTGCAGTTTGTCCTTTGCTTTTGTAGGGCTACTGCGGTCTCTCCTGCAGACCGTGAAGACCTTCATGGTCATTTATATTTTTGTAATTTATTAAAATAGCAGCATGGAATCTAAACTATTTATATTAATACAGTGTGGGACAGAGCAGCTGCTGCAGTGCAGTTAATAATGTTGGTCTCCAGTCACCCTGAATCCATTTTTACCCTAGACAGTCTGGCACTGTGCAAGTTACCCCACCCCTCCAAACAGGTCTGCAGAAGGCATGTCATGCTGTCTTATGGAAAAGTGTATAAATGATGGTTTGGTACTTAGATATGAAACCCCACAAAAAACTGTAAGGAAACCAAGAACACTCAGTTATTCTTGATATACCTTTACAGAATGTTGTAAAATACCTTCAGTGTTATTAGAAGTGAGCAAAAAAATCCAGATTAGAAAAGTCTTGTTTATTCTCACTGAAGTAAATCCTATTTTAAGACAACATAATCTTGAAAAATATTGGCTATTTTTAAAATGCATCTTTAATTCAAAAGGTCAGCCTCCCTGTGGTCCTTGGTAAGGTCCAAGAGCGAGTCCTTCTGGGGCCTTTTGGATATGGAGGGAGCAGCTATATGGCTCAGCTTCATCAAGACTTTGGTTATGGTCTCCCATAGTGTACTTACAGCCAAACTGCTGGGATAAAGGTGAGAGGTGTGGATTTTTTTTGCATGGATACCTTTTAAGTATAGACTCTTCCAGTCTGTGTTATCCTATGACTATGTGATTTTCATCGTGCACCTTGTAAATTCCTCTCGGAGTAGCAAGCTGGCCTTCCTGTCCTGGCTGTCAAAGGTGGAATATAGGAAAGGAATACCCAAGGGAAAACAATAGATTCTTTCCCTTTTTCCCAGCACATAGGAAAGCATTAAAGCAAATTCAGCTATAGAACCATGCAGTAACTTCTGGGTGAAAATAACAAGTGTTTGATTTATGTTTTCTCTCCAAAATTCTACCTGAAGTTGCGAGAGTATGTTTTAATTTATAGAATCATATGATATTTCAACCCCCCTGCCATGGGCAGGGACGCAACATCATAGACTGTGTTGCCCAAGGCTCTGTCCAACCTGGCTTTGAACACTGCCAGGGATGCCAAGCGTTCACCACTTCCTTGGGCAACCCATTCCAGTGCCTCACCACCCTCACAGTAAAGAACTTATTTCTTATATCTAACCTGAACTTCTCC